AAACTAAACAGCCTACAGTATTTTTACAGTCTTCATTTTTCAGTTAAAATATATGTTTATAAAATAAAATCTAATGTTACAACTAATCAGGGATCCCTTTAAGAATATGTTTTTTTCCATCTAAAACATGCAAAAAGTGCAACTTAAAACCCAGTCCTTATTATCAGCTTCAAATAAGTAAAAACAGTCGTGTTTACGAGTAGTAAAAAATAAGACATAATTTTTGAATGTTAAATGTAAAGAAAAAGAGCATGTCAAAAAAGAAAGGCTAAAACCTCGAAGGGTAAAAAAGTGTAGGAAACAGAAGGTTGAAAGATGGAATTCAGACTAAATTTAACAGGATCCCACCTCAGCGGGGTTCCAGTTTGCAAAGCAGAAATGACAACTTGTGTGCCAGATCATTTCATCTGTTATCAGACTCCTGTGGGGACAAGCCTCTGGAAATTACAGAAATGACTGGCTTATGTTAACAAAGTGTGACAATTAATGGTATTTCTCTCTGCTTATTTGCATTATTTAACTGTCAAATAAAGCTCTGCTGAGTAAATATAGGCAAAATTAGGAATCTAAAATTAATGCAACATATGACTGATGGTTAATCTGCATGAAATCATTAAGTATAGCAACTGTTTTATGATTGTGTGTGACACCAGGTTTCAKCTAACTTGAAATATTTATAAAATAACTTAAGTTCAAACTAATGCATAGCAAGTATTCAAATATAATTAAAGAGATCAAAACAAGCAGTTATAATAAAAAATACCTTGCTTTATTATGCAGTGATAAACATTGCTGCTCAATTTCTACTGAAGCTTAATGTTATCTCACTCAATATTACATTGGCTCTGGAAGCGAATAATGTGATGGCAAAATAAATGTGGCAATGAAACATCTTTGTAAGATAATAAAAAAAATGCAGTCATAAAACTTGATGGCCATTACGAGTCAAAGTAAATGTTCCAAATAGGTGGCTACTATGAAGCGCCGATAAAAAATTCAGCAAGTCGAACATAAGTAACCCCCCGTCTTTTACAGTCTACCTGCAGGGGGTAGACATAATAAATGAGACACCTGTCCTGGTGTTTTACAATCCAATGAAACATTTATGCAGTAAATATTACCATTGTGCGGGTCCCGGTGTTTAAACACATGTAAGTTTAAAGAGAATTTCTGATGTGGTCCACATATTACTTACAGCCAGCTTGTTGTTAAGTCGCAAAAAATTTTATATATATATTTTTTATAAAGTTCTCTGTCTTTCACTGCATCTCAACAGTTTGACCTCACCTGTCACAGGTATTAAAGCCGGTGCCAGTCAATTCCTGGTCAGGCAGTCACAGAGTCCTGGGAGCAGGCAATGCCCTGCAGGGATTCACAAACCTCCGACTGATCCAGAATCCAGCAGCTCTCAAAGCATCAGGCTGCWACATGTCACTCTGCCTCCATGCTCCCTTCACTGTCATATTATTGTTGCTCATATAAGTTTCACTTTGCTACAAGTCGGATAATTTGATTTATTTGTTTTTATTTTTTCTTAGGATCTTGAATCAGTTTTAAGCCAATCTTTGGTTCTAATTAACACAAAGCTTTGTTGAATCTGTACCCTTTTCATTCAGCTGAGTGCTCGAAACGACAGGAAAATTGGAATTTGCTGCAGGAATCAGAAAAAAAAATTGGATTTGAACTTCACCCAGAGGTCACTTATCCTGTTCTCATAATCTGATCATCCCAGCAGCGGAGTTGCTTTAGCAAAGCCAGCTTAATAAAGTTCCTGCAGTTTACTGTTTGGAGCACCTCTTGCACTTGTCATGTTAATCACCGGGACAAGCTAATTGCCACCAATATGCATCTTCACTTGATACAGTGCCGTTGCCATATTCATGAATACAAAGCAGTTGTGTAAGCCCCTCCGGATGGGAACATCTGCCAAACACCATCACTAGAAATGTAATTATAAGCTTTGCAATGATACTGAACTTTACTGCCGAAGTCTGCTGTTTGACTGTATAACACGGAGGCGTTTCTTCGCATAATTTTTCAAATCTGTAAAGGCTGCCAATGCATATTTTACTGTTTTACAAAAAGCAGATGCACTAATGCTGAAAGTTCACGCTCGCTCCCTCTTGTTTAGATGCAATCAAGCGATCGCTGATTTGCTGCAATTACAAAAAGGTAATCGCTGGTGCTTTAACAACTGCAAAAAGGCAAAGTTATTTGTGCGTTTGCAAAGACGGTGACATGCAAAAAAAAAAAAAAAAGAAAAGAAAGCACCTACCTGTGTCTAAAGTCTTTATTTCTATGACAGGATACAGCGGAAGCAGGAAAAGAGAGAAACAAATAAATAGAGACAATCAAACTGATAGGTCTTGAGGGGGATATGTTAACTTGTTGTTTCCAAGACTATTATTTTCCCATTTGTTTTGTCACATGAGTGACAGATTTTTGAAAAGATATCGGGATAAACACCCTTTATCATTTATGTTTCTCCTTACGGAAATCACACGGGAGTCAGCGAATCTGTGGATAGATGGGAAAAAAAAGAAAAAAGAAAATCAAAGCAAAAGCTTTATTTTTTCTTCCAGAGTTGTGAAGAAACTCACAAAGTCAAAGCTGTCCCCTTGAAGAATCAACACAGTCGGCGGAGAAGGTCAAACGCAATGACAGTCTGTTTGGCAGTGAGTGGAGAGGTGGAGTTCTAACCCACAGAGAGGAAAACATGTCCTCCTGTGTTCAGAAGGCGCCGTCCTGCATTACCACTGCTATTCTCAATTTGACCACTCATATTGAAATATTGATTCTGCCACTTGCTACATTGACCACTGAAGCCAGAATATAAACATTGGCTTAACACTAACAGCAGTGGGAAAAAAAAGATTCTGAGTGTATGAGCAGGAAGGAGAGGACAAACATCACTTGCATGTCTAAAAGGTTTATAATCATTACTGAAACAATATTCTTGCATTTTTCTTTCATGCCACCGTATTTATTCGAGTATAATATGATCCCATGCATAATATGACCCCCCCACTTTTTTGAGCTTAAAAAGCATAAAAAGTTTAATTCTCAAACTACCTCCAATTTCATACAGACTTCAAGATTTTTCAGCCTTTGCAGTCTTTATACATATCAGTAAAATGATCATTGGACTGTTCATTTTATTTTAACAACATATGTACCAAAAGGTATTTTGACAACAAATATATATCAGCTGTAGCAGCATCATATGAATTCTGGCATTTTATACATAGTCCACCAAGATGAGCCAACACAAAAGTAAGAGACTTCACATGAGATTTGGACCATCTTGTGGGGGAAAAGCAGATTACTTCCCACACGCGAGCGCCCCCTCTGGTGGGGAAATGTGTTTTCAAGGATACAAACTTTTTYAGAACACCAGTAGACGGCAGCCATTACAGATGAACATGTGTTTGTTGTTGTTCGAGGAGCGCCCCGGTCACACRCTAATGTCATTAGTTCGTTATCATTACTAAGGTGCAGGACTGATTTCTTTCCCCCATTTTTTCACATCATGTCGCCTGCCTGGATCTGTTATTATCTCGCTCTGAAGCATAACGGAGGTCTCATTTCCGGACTCAATAATTTTGTGAATGAAGCCGATATTTCAGTTAAAATACATAAGTAAAAAAAATATTCATCCGAGTATAGCACTGCCCCCACAACTTTATGGATGATTTATAGATTTAATTTTACGTATTATACTTGAATAAATACGGTAATTTTTTAAAGCAACTGCAATCCAGTGGAAAAAAATAATAAAAGAAAAAATGTTTTCTGTTTTGCCTCCCATCWTTCCAAACAGATTAAAGCAGTCGCTCGCGATCATAATCCATTTATTAAACTTTGATTCATCTAGCAATTCTCGCTGAGCACGTGTTAATGTTTTATAGCAGCACCCCACTTTTCATCCACGCCGCTGCACCGTTTGTAACATCAGGGATGCGGCGGCTGGTGCCTGAGCAGGTGCATTAGCAGATTTCCAGGGTGGATTAGTGTGTTTCCTCCCAGTTTAGAGTTTCACTCAACATTCACCTTTGTAACCCTGATATTATCTTACAAAAAAAAAAAAAACACTTGATGGTTGACTACCTGCCAAAAGAGTGGTGACCTCTGTCATTTTAAGGTACTTTTCTAATGTTTTTGTCATGTATGTGACTCGTGGAGGATGATGGCCCAATGTACATTTAATCAACATCTGCCACTTTGGAATAAGCCAACTGGCCGAATCAGAGTCATGGCGGGGAGAAGCCAAGTTGGCATGAGGGCGTAAATCATCCCAATTACACGCTGACGACAGGATGTGTTTCCTAATTATGGAGATGGATAGGGAAAAGATTTCAAATTTCTATTGGGAGTGAAAAGATGTGTGTGAATTAAAGTGTGCCCACCGTGTCATTTTAGTTCCCCTCCTCGTGGTGAACACTCAACGTGACAATAAGAAGGGAGATTTTTTTCTTATTTTATTGCTGTACGTTTTGGGGAGTCATTTAAAGTAGATTGCATTTTTTTTACTTGCAATGCATACAATATAGCATCTGTTTAATTTTAAAATATTTCATAATAAGTTACAGTACATGACTTATCAAGTAGTTCCTAAATTTCAAACTTGATTGCATGCAGAAATTTGCAGATTAAACTAGATTAATATCAGTTTAAAAGCTTCTGAATATATATA